ACCTACCACTCCATCAGCAATTTTCTGGGCTCCATGAATTTCATACAGTTGTAGCTGTTTTTCAAACAGTTGGGCAATAGCTCTATGAACAAGTTCATATTGCTCCTATTAGGGAAATGAATGATAAACAAGGGAAAAGACAATTTTAAAAGCAAGAAGGCATTTATAAAAATATAGTTTATAAACTGAAATAACTATACCTTTGTTTGTACTGCAGAATGCCTTTGTGTTCTCATTTCTTGTATTAAATTAAATACATTAAATTCCTCTGGTATTTTCTAAAACAAAGAATATATAAACTTTGGACATTTATTCAGAAAACAGTAAAATAGTCTTCAATTTTTCATATAAAACTTATATACATGCTGGTTTATTACAAACATTTACTGAGGACTACCTACCACATATCAGATTCTATGCTTGGCACTGTGGATACATAGCTAATCTTGACCCTCAGCAGTCTTGCTGGGGAGCCAGATGTGTGTAAATGTGTGTAAATATCTAGCCAAAGCATAACTGCAGTGTAATGGGAATAAAGAGGCTATAATTGACTGATAGGTGTATAGAGTGACAATTTAGTTGAATATTAAAAGAAGACTATCTCATGAAGGACATACACATAGGCAAAGCAGACTGAATGTACAATCTATTTGGGATTGGGAAGTTTGATGTGGATAAAGCCAAAGACTAAAAGGAGGTGGTACTGGCTATTAAGGACCAGCTAAAAGAGCTAGGTAAAAATACAGAGCCCTGAGCTCCATCTTGGAGGACTGGTTGTGAAAGATCCTAGATGATTCTTTCATACACTTGAAATTGGGACTGCAGCAATAGGCAACCTTGACTTAAGATCTGATATTCAACCAACATTTGTATCAGGGAAAACGACAGTCTGAAAGAGAGAAACTGGTGGAGGTTTAATGAAGCACAATTACTAGAACTGTGATCAGCAAGAGTATCTTGGAGTGATGAAGAAGATGGAAGAGTTGAGAGTGATTCCCAGGTTTATTGCTTAGGAGTCTATATACATCAAAAGATTTTTTACATCAATATTAACCTAAGGTACAAGGTTACATTTATATTAAGCCTAACTCAATTAAATGGGGATTACGTTCAAAATACACAACTTTTAAAATGACCAGATGTTTACTTTGCTATCATTAAGTGCCTCTTCCCATTCCAATTTTAATCTTTGACTTTTATGTTAAAATGTGACAGAATCCTAGTTAAATTTCATTCACTTAAACATGTTCATTTGAATATTAGGAGATGATTATAGTTTTTGAGGAATACAAATATAAAATTTAACCCCAGAGAGCTTTCTAAGGAATTATTTAAAAACTTCCCAATGCATACAAAATGAAAATATTACAGAACTAGGAAAAGGAAATATATATACAATGAGGAGACTTGTGTTTTTCAAATCTATAATGAGAGCTGAAATTTTATCTTTGTATCTTCCATAGATCAAACACAATTTCTTGGAAATAGTAGTGTAGATACAACATTCCAGACAATAGCAACAGTAATAAGAACTATTAATAATAATGTACCAAGCACTTGCTACATGCCACACATAGTTCTGGAGAATTTAACAAAGTTTCATTTATTTAATTCTTATGCATTATTACTATTATGATCCTCATTTTCTGATGAAAAAAAATTGAAGCATAATGGCATTAGTATTGTGACCAAGATCCCACAGCCAGTAAAGGACAGAGCAAGAATTTTAAACTGAGCAGTTTGGCTCCAGAGTCAGCATTCTTCAACCACTATACTACAATGTCTCCAGTGGGCATAAACATTTACTGAACAGAATACACTTATACCTAGAATAAATACAAAAGGCAATGAGAATTCTGTATTGGAAAAGTCAATGTACAGTTTGCATCCCTAATGCAGGTATTCATTAACCTAGAACAATACTCTTAACCCTGTTTGCCGAGTGCATTATATCAAGGCAATATGCAGCATTTATATCTTTTCACTACCTTTTCTTTATACCTTCTTACATAGTAAAACTATTTCAGAAAATAACATGTAAAACAAAATATATATTTAATTTAATATGCACTTAATTTACGGTAATGAATCATAAACTTTCAAAATCATAATAGATCATTGGATAAAATGCTACATAAAAATTATTCTTACCCCAGCTTTTAGTAAATTCCACGTATAATCTATGGCACAAATGGCACCTGTTCTTCCACAGCCTGCACTACGGATATAAAGTTTGAAAAAAAGTTTAATTTTTGTGATAAAAGAAATATAAATGTGGATGGACATGTTTAATATTCAGAAAAAAATCATTTAAGAAATTTGACAATATTCTACTTATTTATTAAACAAACTACAACTTAAAGTGTGCGCATGGCAACATCCTTCACATTAGTTTTTTACAGTAGTATCCCCTTATCCACAGGGGATATGCCCAAGATCCCCAGTGGATTCCTGAAACTGTGAATAGTATTGAATCTTACATATACTATGTTTTTTCTGAGACATACATACCTAAGATTAAGTTCAATTCATAAATTAGGCACAGTAAGAGATTAACAACAATAACTACTAATAAAATAGAACAATATAACAATACTCCAGTACTACTATTCTTGTGCTTTGGGGCCATACAGGAGCAGGGAACCTGAAGCCTTCTGATTTCAAGATTGTTCTTTTTTAAGCACCAAAGGAGGCAAGATAAGCTTCATCTTTCTCTGCTGCACCCCCCGCCCTTTTTTTTTTTTGAGACAGAGTCTCACTCTTTTGCCCGGGCTAGAGTGAGTGCCGTGGCGTCAGCCTAGCTCACAGCAACCTCAAACTTCTGGACTCAAGCAATCCTTCTGCCTCAGCCTCCCAAGTAGCTGGGACTACAGGCATGTGCCACCATGCCCGGCTAATTTTTTTCTATATATTTTTAGTTGTCCGATTAATTTCCTTCTATTTTTAGTAGAGACGGGGTCTCGCTCTTGCTCAGGCTGGTTTCGAACTCCTGAGCTCAAACAATCCGCCCGCCTCAGCCTCCCAGAGTGCTAGGATTACAGGCGTGAGCCACCGCGCCGGCCTGCACCCCTTTTAATAAAAGGATTTGTTTTGTAAAATTTGGATTCAGTCAAAATGCTGCAGTCAAGGATCCAGAAGGCCACATGTGGCCCCAAGGCTGCAAGTCCCCCACCCCTTCGAGATCACTGGTAACTGAAACTGAGGAAATTAAAACCACAGATAAGGGAGAATACTGTCTATCTTTGTGAAATTTAATTTAAGGAACTTCCAAGAGTAAGTGACTCATAGAATACCTATGAGCCTTCAGTTTGGAAGTCTAATTCTACCTCAGAAAACTTTGACTATCTAACAACATCTTGCAGAGATAAATTTATTCTATGTTCAAGATGACTCTTGTGTTCTAGAGCAGAGGAAGAAGAAGAGACAGTACATCATTTCAATCTGCAAAAAGATAAAGAATGCTACAAGCCCTAGAAACTGGATTGAGCACCAGCAGTGACTTCACTAAAAGAACAAAGACAACTGATGCATTCTCATCTCCTAAAGAATGAATGGGAGCTGGAGAATGTAGAGTAAAATACCACAGGTTTTTTACTTTAAAACATGACAAAAATACTTTAAAAAAACTGATTCTCAATTAGAGGAAGGCATATGTGCCTTAGGATTAAGTATTGCTATGACTAATTAAAAGATGTAACTGACATCACCAGAATAATTTTTAGGCAGAAAAAAAGTTGTGTAGCATTTTAATGCACATTCTGAAACTTTTCAAAGTACCAGTAGTTTGTTAAGTATGTAATCTAAAAATTCCTGATAAAATTACATTATAAGCAACCTAGTATGATTTTTAAAAGTTCTTAATAACAAACACCAATAATATTAATTTTAGCTGTTCATACATTTCTGAATTCCATGTATTGAAATATTTCTAGAATTTAAGAGCTACTAGGACTAAACGATATATATTGAAAATTTGATAGTTAAAAGTATGATATTACAAAGACATAGACAACCACATCAGTGAAACACAGCAGAAAATTCAAAAACAGATCTCAGTATATGTAAGCATTTATTACATAATGGTGAATTCTCCAAAGGGGAAAGATTAGACAGTTCAATAAATGGTACAGGGAATCTCTACCGATGAAGAGCAAAAATTAGATTCTTACTTCATACCTTAACAACAATGAAAAATATGCCTTATGAATTAAAAATATAATGTTAAAAACTAAATCTATAGAAGTACTTAAAAATAGGTAAAATTTTTACACTACTCTGTTAGAGAAAGACTTTATACGCATATCTCAATGAACAGAAACCATAAATGAAGAGATTCACAAATCTGACTACATGACAATTTAAAACTTATGTATGCTAAAACATAGGCGGCAGACATGAAAAACCATGGTATTAACAACATTATTAAAGGTTAGTATCCTCAATATATAAATACATAAAAATAACTTCCATAAATATTAAAAGATGAATGCCTGTTATAAAATAATAGGCAAAACATACAAACAAGTACTTCACAAAAGATATAAATGACCAAGAAAAAAAAAAAAACTTGCCTGTCATATAGGTATTGCTAAAAAGCAAAACAAAGAGATAACACATTATTGGGGAAGGTATAGAGAAACAGGCACTCCCACATACT